TATATATATATATATTGTGTGTGTGTGTGTTCTGCAGCAAAAATATGGCAGTTAAGCTACCAAAACAGTGCTTCAGCGTGCAGATCCAAAAGGAAAAATTTACCCCTTTAAGAGAAAATAAATGTTGGAGTCCATGTTCTTTCACTGAGTGAAGATTCACTTGATTTTGATTCAGGACAGTGTGTCTCAGCCCTGTGAATGTTTGGTCCACTGTATAGATCAGTGCGTCTAGTGTAGATGTAAGGTGAAATCTCTTCTGACCAATTCAACTGGACTCATATCTACTCTTAAAAGTCATGATGTATGGCATACAGTGATAAGATGTATATGCCAGGCAGATCCAGGAAAAATGCATAGAGCAGATTAAAGCCTTACATATATTTATAACCTTTGTTGATCTAACAAAGGCCTTTGATACCGTTAGTCGGGAAAGCTTGAAAATCCTAGCATTGTACGGTTGCCTGTGAAAGTTCATTATACTATGGTTTACCTGTAATCTCCGACTAATAACATGCGCGATAAAAGCACAATCCGCCTTATGCACACTGGCACTAGGAAAACCCATTTTTTCTTCATAATTTTATCACTCGTAAATGCATGTCACAAATCGACAACTCTGTCTAACAGCACAATCATTCCAGCGCAACTGTCAGAAACAGATCAGTTTGTCGCTTTTAAGCACAAAGGGGACTATGATCCCAAAAAATACTGTTTTGAGAAAATAAAAGGTAAAGTTTTGCCCCTTGTTCAGTTTTTTAAAAAAGACAAGGAAAGTTTTCTCTATAACAAAACAAATTACACACAATGGGACCAAGCTTCTCCTATAGGCAGGGAAATGCCCACCTTTGGTGTGTGTCAAGATTTCTGGAAACCCCTGAAATCTGGGTTAGCCCGCTTGTCCTGAAAAGCGACCAGTTATAAATTACTCATTTTGCTTGGAACTCCTTTATTAATTCATATTAAGGTTTTGCCAGTGAGAAAAAATATATAGATTAAGTCTGAGACGCAAATGAAGAAAACCAGTGGACGACCGCCCATGCATGGTGAGTGGACAGTGTGAGAGGGCCTGGTGGTAATTATGAAGGTTGCTGTCTGTGATTGCATTTTGTAGGAAAGCTTCACACCTCCGGGTGAGCTCAGCTCAATAATGCAACCCACCATACGAGTTCTGTTGCGAGATACTTCACATCAATCAATGAAGTTCGACAGAATATCGTCGGCCTGGTGATAAAACCGGCTAACCCACAAAATGTCAAAAAAATTTTTATTGGCCCTATCGATAGCAAATTGTCCATTTCATATGCTCACTTATAGTCAGATCTAAATTTTGTTCTAAAAATGTCTTTAAAACATTAGAAATAAAACCGTATAACCTGCCATCCATCGGATTTTAGCCCGATGTTTCCGACTATCCCACCTGCGAGGGAGGGAATGAGGGTTGGCTGTTTTTGTCGTGCTAACAATGAGGGGCCATATGCTACGTTACCGACTAACCCCGGCTTCGACTCGTCTCAGGACTTCGTTTGATAGTCTAGAATTCGCTCACGTAACCATGTGAGCTCTTCAAAAGGGAAATTTGTGTAATATTTCTTGTTGGTTTCATTTGGGAGTTATATAGACCTGGTTGTTCCCTCTTTTTTTACTTTTTAAAGCTGCTGATAATGTTATTAATGACTAAAACTCCCCACTGTGCCCACAGAACTGTTTTTATCTCGTGGCAATGCCGGTATTTCAAATACATCTTTAGGATTTTGTTTTATATATAAAACTATTTTTTTCTGTCCACGTGTTCTTCTTTGTCTTTGTACTTGAAAGTTACCGAATTATGAAGGCATTTTCCCTTATTCGGACTACTGTCTCTTCTCCTATCCATTTTTCCATTGCAATTGAATGGACAAAGTCGATAGCTTTTCATTCTTTACTAACTCACTCAGAAAAAAAAAATATGGGACCTGTCCAGAACATCGTCTGCCCCCAACTATCGTTTTCTTTTGAAGCTTTTTTTTTTTATTTGCATTGTTTATTGCAGTCATTATCTTCTGAAACATCTTTCGACTTTCTTTGAAAGTTCATTTCGTTTGTGTTTAGTATAGACTATTTTCTCAGTGTCATAACATCATGCTTTATCTTTATATCAAACCTAACTTACATAACGCTATAAAATTCAATAAGATGATGCCAGGCTTTCTACATCACATTTGACTCTCAGCGCAGTGGTCAACATGACCAGGCTAATGTCACATCAGCTGATAATAAAACAGTTATGTCGCCTTTGATCTCTGCAAAAAGGACACGGCATGAAAACGATTGGAAGGGTAACAAAAGGAAGAGGTTGAAAGAACTGGGGATGCTTCTACACATGTCAAGGCACGAAGCGAGCAGGGTGTGAACTTGATGTCCTTTGCTGTTGTAAACTGGTTGGTACAAAATGCAATGACATCACTGGTCACTCTCTTGGAAAGAAAAGAGAGCCTACGTATATGCCATGATAAACAGGATAGACAAAAAGAGATCTTACACAGCAAGTGAAAACCCAAGGAGAAATGACACCCTTCAATATCACTTAAAAGAGTCAATGGTCAAAGAACATCTGTTTGTAAAACAATCTTCATGAACACCATATGTCTGACCAACTGGTTTATTTAAAGTGTCTTCTCCGAAAAAACAACAACAAGAGGTCCCCCCCCCCCCCCCCAGAACACATCACGCCCACCATGAGAGAGCCAAGGATGACAAATTGTTCCATAAAGAGGAATTTTTTGACAAACTTTCGAAGATATCCTCCTGTCTACAGATTACAATCCAGAAAACGTCAGATTTGCATCAAGTATACATGGAGAACTTTGCAGAGAGGGTGAAAGCCACATTGAGCTATCAAGTGTTCTGCCAAAAGTTCAAGAAAAACAATTTGGGTTCACTTTCAACCAAGAAAGACCAGTGCGACATTTGCACCAGCTTCGAATTAGGAAACCTCACAGAAACAGAATACACGGCTCATCAAATATGAATATGAGGAAAGCTGCAGCTAGACAAGAGAAGAAGGACAGGGAGGCGGCACTGGACCCAGAGAACAAAATGTGTGTCTTTTGTGTGGGGATCCAGTGCGTCCTTCTGGCCTCATCACTAAAGACATCCACCTTATATTATAAGACAAAACTGGCAATACACAATTTTACAATTTAGGATCTTGCCACCAGAGACGCCAGTCAGATGATATATCTGGGATGAAAGTGAAGTTGGTATGAGCTTCAACAGTTTTCATCATGTCTGACGCACTAACTGATATTGCAAGCGACTGGCTTCAATTACTTCATCATCTGCAGTGATTGGTGCAACTACTAAAACAGAACTGCCACCCTGGTGAGTGCAATGGCCTCGCTGGCCAAAGAGCTTAACATCACAGTTGAGCAGAAATTATCACCAAGGGCCATACGCAAATGGAGGTGGATTCAGTCCATGGCACTATTAAGCGATGGCTCTAAAACGCTCTGATGTACATCCCAAATAGACTACGTGAACATCATGCTACAAGCCAGACGCATCCCCAAGCCCTATGAAGTTATGTACCAGGGCCACAGCTATTTCAAAGATTTTGCAAAGGTCGGAGAGCACTAAACAATCCGTCCAGGGAGAAAAGCAGGCGATCCTGCAGTCATTGACTTGCAGGCATCAAAGTACACTCCATACTTTATAATTCAATACAATCTGAACTTTGATGATGGATGGCCGGCGTGCAAGGACCAAGAAAGCTGAACACCCGATGTACGACGGTTACTGCTGGACCTCTCTGCAAAGACAGATTGAAGATAACTGCCAACCAGTATAAACATCTACTGGAGTTGAAGGCCGTCGTACCACGATGCTACCACAATTACCATGAAACTTTACCTCTGTAAGAAGTTTTGAAAGCGATCAAGTCAAATTCGATTATTGTTGAGTCTTTCAAAACAATGGTAACTTTTGTCGTATTGCCTTGTTATAGCCACAGGACACAGAGTGAGACAGGCATGCTCTTCTATTGTCGAGAAAACTCAGTAAAGTAGTAGTTGTCAAGCCACGCACCTTGAAGAAAGTTGGCGCATTCTTTGATACTTACTAAGTCTTTTTGTATAATAATAATATATTATTATGAAGCCAACTTCACTCAAACCATTGCTGAGGGAGCAGAGCTTCTGTGTGGCTTTCTGCTTTTATTTCTTTGTTAGTATTACTTTTTTCCAGGCATTTGCAAGGCCACCCAGAGCCTATAGTACCGTGTCAGACACTGTCATAAATTCTAAGGCCTGCTGATGCTACTGCTACTACTGTTGTTTTTGTTCTTGTTGTAGTTGTTGTTATTTGTTGTATTGCTGTAGCTGCTCTCCCTTACCCTTCGAACCTCCTGTTCTTCTACTTCAAACATAATTAATATACCCGTTGCTGTGTTCTGCTTCTTCTACTTCTATTAAATGTTCCAATTTGTGACTGCTGTTTGTGCCAGAATTGACTCCGTAGCACTGAAATAGCAGCAGCTGATAGTATGTTGGTAGCAGTAATATCGTCCTCCTCCTCTTCCTTCTTACTCCTCCTCCTCCTCCTCCTCCTCCTCCTCCTCCTCCTCCTCCTCTTTTTCTTCTTCTTCTTCTTCTACAAAAGATGACGACGATTGAAAGAACTGATCAAATACGTCACAGTCAAGTGTGGCTTGGCTGCACCCAACCAAACTCGAGGCCAGCAGTGGCTTCCTGATAAAATTGGCCAACCCACAAAATTGAGAGTTGGTCGGTTTTATCGGGGAAAATTTGAGCGACATAACCGTCTAACCCACGCAGTTTCATTAGAAAATGATTTTTTAAGGAAAAAAAGGTCTATAGTTTTTCGGTAAAGTGTTTTTATAGGTGTTTAAAGCATTGATTTATCGCTAGACGCCTTTGTTTTGAAATAAAACAGTTTTTTCCTTCTCCTGTAAAATTTACCTCTCTGGGGTTAGCCGGTTTTATCACAAGGCCGACAATATACTTACTACTTTCTTTCAAAATTTGCATAATATCTCCATCACATAAGAGCACTCTTTTCTTGTAACTCGATGAGGTGCATGCAATTAGCTGTAGACCACTATTTCGCGATCCTAAGCTACCACCAGAAGTTCAAAGTTTCTTCATTACGTTGTTTGCATTGATTTCCCTGTGGTGTTCTACTGTTGAGTGTTGTACAGCAGTTTTGGTTCTGCTTCTACTAGCATACAAGACTTGATTGCAATTGTATAAAATAAATAATGGTGGCTCCCGTATTTAGATGATTTGTGCTTCTGTTCATCCCATATGGCGGATGGCAGGCCTGCTCGCTTTTTTCTTGAATTTAACTCTGCCGGACCTGTAATCGTCTACTCTTTTTAAAAAAACATGTTATGAAGATAATATTAATACAGTCAATTATTTTTTTAAAGATTAGCGGGTGACATACTCCTTATTTTGATGACTTTTTAAATCATAGAATGGACAGGGAAAGTTTGAAGACTGAGTAAAAAAGGTTCCAACTGCCAAATATTCTTCACAAGGTTCAGTTTACCATTATACTAATATGACAATTTGACACAACACTTTCTGCAAAAGTATTATTTTTAATATTTGTAATATCACTGGCTACATTATTTAGTACCCTCTGTTACTTACTTTTGTAACAGTACAGCTTTACTTTGTTTTGTTTCTGCAAATTATTTCAGGTGATGAGGCACTGAGGACTGCTTAATCATCACTGCTTGTATATAATGCCCTGGATGTGATCATTAAGGGGAGGAGGACAATGGCTGAAACTGGAAGTCAGAGGTCATGCCCCTATGATGATGCTAATATATTTTCCAAATTGACATTCTGGTAAGTAAATGGTAATGTTTAACTTAACCTGTCAATCTGAATCAGCGGATTAGCAAAGTAATACTTTTCCCTCTGATATTCAAGAATGTATGGAGTAGTTTCTTCTAGCAAGGTGCTTATTTATGTTGAGGTTTAGAATGTAACTTTCTCCCTGATTGGTGAAAATACCAATTGCCGACTGAAATTTTGAAATTAAAAAAATTTGGGTGACATAAACACCAGAAATTAAATTTTCAGTCAATAAAAGTATGTCTGGAATTTAATAAAAAGCTGTGCGCATGTGATGCTGTATGGATGATTTGTTAATGGTCTTTCTTGTCTTTCTGCAAATTTAGGAAAAGCTTGAGTTGTGTGAGGGCACATTTAAGAAAACCTATTTGATAAACATCTGCATGAAGTTAATCTCTAAGTTTTTTGTTTTTTTTTGTTGAATACTGGGTGGTCACTGAGGTGTGTCCTTGAGCAAGACATGACAACCCTAGCTCAAAATATAGGGCCCTTCACTGTGGCGACTGACAGTGGCATGGTTGTAAACCTTTATGTATTTGTGTAATATTGTGTATTTATATATTTATTTATGCATGTACTTCTGTGTGTACATATTTATGATTATTTATTTATGTATGTGTATGTATGTTTGCCATTGTAATCCCAAGTGCCCTTCTGGGACAAATAAAAGTGTAATTTATTTTATTTAATTATAAAAAAATTTCTTTTCAGGTGGATGAATGCATTGTTCCGTTTGGGCTTCAAGAATCAGCTGACCTCAGTTAACATTTGTGATGTCTCAAAAGAAGATAAATCCAGTGGCCTTGAAGCTAAGCTTGACAGGTAAGTTATACAAGGAATTAAATATGCGGTGGATATCTTGAGTTTTTTTATGGAAGTGTTTGTAATTGTAAATGTTTTGAGCTCCATTAACACAATTTATATCAATGAAGAGGAAGGGTACTTCGACTCTACCTGTCAGGGCCAACCTGGGCTGAGAGGAATTCAAAGTCCCAGTGGACAAAGGAGATATTTGATGAAAAAATTCCCCGTGTAAGAACTACACTTATGTCTTCTGTGTGTGACGATAAAGTATCTAACCAGTGCACCACCGATGCCGGTTTGAATTTTGTCTAGCAATCAAACTTTTGTCATGTTGAGAGAAGTGTACTGAATGAGTTCTTTCATGTTGGTTCTAAGCAGCACAGTGTTGTTCTATAATCAGGTTTTATTCTGCTGTCTTTAATATTGTACCTCCGAATTTGCATTTTGAGGCGCTCCTGACTTATTTTAAGCCCTTGTAAGATCAGACATTATTTTCACTTAATTCTTTCTTAATGATGATTCTAGGTGAAAAATGTAGGCCTATGTCGTTATTTTCATCCTATGTTGAAATAATACAAATAATTGTTAGATATTCTAGAGGTTAGAGTAGAGATATCATGATATCCCAGCACTCGTTTGTGCTGGAATTTTGTACTCCTTCCACTGAAGTAGGTTGTTAGTTGCCTGAATATTATCTAGATGACCTGATTACACTGCGATTGTTCCACAGCCTCTTTTCCCTTACTAACTTGTTTTTTTTTTTGTTTGGCAAGTTTAGGCCTGTCTTTGTTTTTGTGTCAATTAGTTTAATTTTATTCCCTTTTTGACTTTGACCATAGCTTCATTTACATCACATGCAAAATTTCACAGATGTTGGAAAGAGGAATTGGACAAATTCTCCAGCTCAGAAGGACACGCTGCAAGTTTGTTCGTTGCTGTTCTTAAAGCTTTCAAGTGGCAGTTGATTTTTCCTGGAGCCTTGATATTTTTTCTTGTAAGTAATTGATTGCTGTTGAAATCTTTTGTTATCTTTGACTGTTAAAGAAAATGCCACTGTGTACAGGTTGTATGTTTTGGTTTGAACATTGTAGCATGATCTGTTCACTTCTTTAGCTCACACATTGACTTGTACCAAAGTTTACATAACAAGAGGGGCCACTCCTCTCTTTGAGCCAATTAAAAAAGTGTCCTCAAAATTCGGTGGCGCCCTCTTTGCAAATGCGCACCCTTTGTGAACAGAGTTGCCCTACTTGTCTTTAAAAAATGAAAGTGAAACTTACAAGTTTTTGAATAAATAAGAATTCAAATTTCGGAAGAATGCTTTTTTAAAATGGTTACGCTGACAAAAAAACCTGTTCCGGAGGAAGGGGTGACTGTTTTCTTTGTTTAATATGACTTAAGAATGAAAGGCGAGAGGTCATTAAAATAAAAAACCCCCCTAAAATTCGGCACTGAACGAACCCGAACAGCTGATGAACAGCAGTCGTTCTGCGCACGCAAGGAGGTTCTATTCCTATTCTTCTTCTGGAGAAACGAAAGAGAGCTTCAAAACAGACTGCAGCGCCATCTGAAGCAAAGAGCGGACTTCCGGTGGACATTTTTTTTGCTAAGTGGACCATCTTGTTATGTACTATCTTTGCTTGTACTATGTGTATCAGTGAAGTGTTAAAGCTGCTTGATCCCTTTTGTTGGGTCTTTCAGCACTGAATGTTTTTTCCTTCTGGATTTTGTCTTAGATTTTGACTTTCATTATGTTCAATAACTTAGGCTTTCTCTATCTGATGGAAAAGCTTTTAAAGTGTTAGAAATGTCTAAAATTTTTCTTTACTGTTGATGAAAATTTCTGCGGAAAAGAAAAACTGTAGTAGAAAACTTATGCCTATGAAATAATGCATTTTACAATTAATTAATTATTTTTATTTGTTGTCTTAATATTGTAGGAGGTGACAAAGCTAATACAGCCGTATCTGATTGGTCGTCTTGTGTCTTACTTCAATGATGATGACGGAGCTGTGGATTCAGGTACAGCTTATGGCATAGGGGCAGGTCTCGGTCTGACTGCTGTTCTTCAAGCTATTTTGAACCCCACTTACTTTTTCATTATGCAACATGTCGCCATGAGAATGAAGGTAGCTGTTGGAGCTCTGATCTACAAAAAGGTAGGAGTACCTTTGTGTCTGACTGTTCATTTTTCAGGTATTCCAGTATGTTTTTGTCATATTTTTTCGGAACTTTATTAGAACAGAAACTTTTCTTTGATTTTTTGTCATTCCTTAATCTCAAGTTAGTAAAAGTATCAGACTTTCCATAAAGAATTGAATCTGGGTTTTGCTGAAAATTATGAGGCAACACGTCAGATTCTGTATGATTTGTGTATAGATTCCCCACATATGTACACATACTTGGTTTTTTTGATCGTCATATGTGAAATCTAAATAGAATGCTACCATAGATAAGAGGGTAATTGCTTAGAGAAATACTTTTAATAGCTTTTTAAGGTTTCCCTTTATGAAATGTAGAGTACGTTGTTTCTCACTGGGACGAGTTGGGAATCAAATCTAAAATTTGTAAGTTGTTAGTCAGATGCTTTGGTCCCCAGGCCAGGAAGTCTTTGATTATAAAAATTTTAAGAAAGGAGCTTGTTTATTATCCTCAGGTTCTTTCACTCAGTGCTGAAGCATTTGCCTACACTTCTGCTGGACAAATTGTGAATCATCTCTCGACAGACATTGAAAAGTTTAATTCTGTGAGTATACTTCAATAGTTTAAGTGACGAACATTTTATATTTTGCTTTAAATGAACAATGTTAAATGAACAATGTTATAAAGGATGTGCTGATAGAATGTTCACACCAATTATTAATAAAATTCATGCATGTGTACGTCCAAGTTCAGTAATTGCATGTTCTGTTCAGTAACATAATGAGTGGGTGACTCATGTCTGAATTCAAACCTAATGCTTGATGAGTCTTCCTGTACTTTCTCCTGCCAGCTCGGCCGTCTTTTTGGAGAAGGCGTGTGGGTGGTTGGCAGGTGCTCTGGTGTGGTTTGCTCCTTTTTTCTTTTCAAATATCTGTCGTCCTTTTCTCCCCTCCATCTTTGTTTGTTACTCTCTTTTAATACCTCTAATCTCCAGCATGTATATGACCATATTGTGTTGCAAATGCTGTTATACTCATACAAAAACTAAAAATCTAAAGGAGAAGGCATTTATGGCAGATGTCCTGCTTCTTACAAGACTGTATGTTGGGTTGAAAAGGTTGTTAAACCGTTACCGAAACTGGCTGTTGCATTTTGTTTTTCTTTTATTTCAAATGTGATGCGTCATGACAGCTGGTATGAAAGGTACACTTTCTTGAAAACATTGATATGGCTAATTGTTCTAAAGCCATTATTTTGCCTATAACAGAAGATCAGGTTTTTGGTATAAAGTAGCTAGAAAGGAAAACATGTGTTTTTTTTTTTGGGGGGGGGGGGTAGACCCTCAGTTATGGAACGATATTAAAAAGGTTGAATTTCTTCAAAATGACCCTTTTTTAAGTGTAATGAGAAAATTGGGAAAATCAGTGTTTTGTTTACAACCTTTTTTTTAAGGTCTTCATAGGATACCTCTATTCTGTCTGTCTAGTAAAAAGTTAGAATGTGATTTAGAAGTTATAGTCTTAACTCTTAGGCTCACTAGTACTGGTCGTGTGTAGTTGCAGCATAACCACATTTTTGATAGAAAAAGAAATGAATTGAGTGGTTTTAGAATGCATGAACCAATTTGATGTTTTTCCTCCCTTCCTGACAGAGTATTGACTTGCTGCATCATCTGTGGGTGTCACCTCTATCGATCGCAGTGACCATGTACCTGGTGTACAGACAGGTGGGCTCAGTGTGCTTCTGGGGTTTTGGAGTCATACTTCTCATCATTCCCATCCAGTCCGCCCTTGCTGCATCGTTTGGTCACTTACGGTAAGAACAAGGTGGAATGATGAAGTACAATTTTTATCAATGTGGATGAGATTACAATGTTTCAAAACTTGAGATTGTTGTAACTGATTTGATTGTTCAGTTTAATAGGCAATCTTTGAATTTGTACAGATATCTCAGGGTGACTCAATGTGAATTTCAATGTTAAGGGAGATTATTTTGACTTGATCATTGGTTGTTCCATTCTTCTCTCTATGGTCAAGATCTCCATCTCCTAATATATACCCGTAACGAATGCCTTGCTTTGGTGGTAAATCTTCAAGCCATGATGCACTTGTATTCGGACCAGAGATTGAACTGTTTCATCCACTCCTGTTTTACAAAAGTTCCTCTCTCCCTGTTGTGTCCAGATTCAGGATTGGTGCCATATCCGACCAGCGCATTCAAGTGTTGACAGAAGCAGTGTCGTCCATGAAGTTCATCAAAATGCAGTGTTGGGAGCAGCTGTTTCAAAAGCTGATCTCAGACTTGCGAAGGTAAAGCTGACATGCCTGGTTTTAGCTTTGGTAGGAACATCAGCTAGAATGCAAGTGTTTTTCACCATCATCAGCCTTGGTCTTCTGCACCATGATTTCTTTAGTGTTCGAGTGAACTTGTGTTTCAAACAGTTGTGGACGTGAATATAATTTCCATCTTTAAAAAAGAAATTATAGTTTCACTGTCTAGATAGTCTTAAAAGATCAAAGTTAAACTGCTCTCACAGAACATTATGGGCAATTGTGCGCCGCTAAACTTTTTCCTGTTCCCTTGATTTGTTTCTTGCTCTTGATGCATGGGCCCTTAGTAAAAAAGAGCTCTCTCCCTTTCCCCATAATTTTATTGAATGCTTGCTATGAGATTTAGGGAATGTTTTTCTAGCAGATATTTTACCTCTTAGGAGGCATAATAGGTTAGTTTTGCTTACAGTCTCCATTGGAGTAAGATAGCTCTGAGAGAGTCCTTTTATTGGATGTCTAGGAAATGAGAGCATGACTTTTTCTTTAGTGCAGTGTTCTAAAAAGTAATTGAATGTTCTTTCCCTTTTGTTCACAAAAATGCTTTGTCACATATGTCTTTTGATTGAGTCTTGTTTGCATGTAGGAAAATTATTATCAAGTGTTTCCATCCGTACTGGAAGGGTTTGAAATTTAGGAAATATAGACTTTGTCTTTCCGGTGTACAGTTCTCCAGCTTTCGATTAGAAGCCAGCTGCTGATGTGTGTGTTTAAATTGTTTAGTTGAGAAGGTTTTATTGACTGCATTTTTTTGTGTCTGTATAGATTTCCATACTTATCAAGACATATTTTTGACCCAGCTGAATTGCACACCAAGTCTTATAAAGCTTCCTAGAATTGAAGGATCTACCTGAGAACAGCCTGTGTGTAAGGAAATAGCTATAAAGCAGCAAATATATTAAAACTTATTAACTATTTTATATGTAGCTATTCAATAGCATTCAGTATTTACATTAAAAAAGTAAAAAAATTGAACAGGTTTTGATTATATTGGTGTAATAGAAGCCTGAGACAAAATCAAGAAAATGTGGTGGTTTTCTTGTGTCTGAGAGTGCATGTATGTGCAGGACTACTTCAGCTGATATCTGAGGTTTCTTTGTCATTTTTCTTTTAGGAGTGAGATTGTATATTATCGGTATGGTGCTGGCTTCAAGTCAGTCACTATGGCCCTGGAGGAAATGTCCACCCGTGCGGTGACGCTGACCATTGTGATCACGGCCTTCCTAACCGTGGGCCAACCTCCGGCTGCCTCCGCCGTCTTCATCATTATTGGCCTCTTGGACAATGTTCGTCTCACTGGCTTCTTTTTCCTCCACTATGCCTTTGAGACCCTTTGTCAGCTGAGGGCTTCCTTGTTAAGAATACAGGTGTGTGTGTGTGTATGTGTGTGTGTGCATTCGTGCGCGCATGTGTGTGTGTGTGTGCATGTGTGCTTGCGCGCGCGCGCGCGCGCCTGTGTGTATGTATGTGTGTGTGTGTGTGTGTGTGTGTGTGTGTGTGTGTATGTGTGTATGTGTGTGTGTGTGTGTGTGTACGTGTGTGTATGTGTGTGTGTGTGTTTGTATGTATGTGTGTGTGTGTGTGTGTGTGTGTGTGTGTGTGTGTGTGTGTGTGTGTGTGTGTGTGGTGGCAAGCATACATACCTGTGTAAATCATTTAACAGTTCCACCTGGTTCCCCTGTAGCACTAGGTTCTCTTAGTCTTTTCGGCTCTTGCCTTTGTCATACTTACCACTTTTTGCTAGGCTATAGCTCCTGCATCCATCTTTGTTGCTGGGCTGCATTGCGTCTCATGCTTTTTGCATCACTAGATTGTAAGTTGGTTTCAAACATTTTTTTTTTGCTTGAAGTCCAAGTTCTTTTAATGCCTTTAATTGAAATATATATACAGAACTGTTATTAAAACTGAAAAGCGTTCTGGTAAGCAGATTGCTATTCTTTTTATAGTGGTACAGAACAGAGACTGTTTTTATTATTACACATTTCCTGTAATTAATTGCATGGCAGTTGGCTGTGAATCATATTCAATAACTGAAATGTTTTTTCTTTGGTTTTGATTTAATTTGTCCCATTTTCCTCTATGATAACTTGATAGCTGCCAAGGGTGTGGATATTACTTTACAAGAGTCATTACTTTTTATATGGCAGAGAAGTTTTGTCTTAGATATCTCTTTCCCTTCCCCTTTCTCTTTGTTTTCCTCTGTCCGTCTGTCAGTTGGTCGCTCTTTCTCTTCTCTTTCTGTCTTTTCTTCCCTCTTCTCTCCCTCACTTGTTTTCCCTTTTCTTTTTATATCATCCCCTCCTCCCCCCTTCCCCTGTGTGTGCATTTTATAATTTTAGCACTGGTACAAGGGAAAGCACAGCAGCTCAAACTAGTTTCAAGTGTGCCTGAAATTTTCAATGACATATTATTCCAAAGTCTGTCTTTAGAGCTCTCTCTATGACTTTGCCTACTTTTGCTTTCCATAGAATGAAATCAGTGCAAATTTATGAGTTCGGAAGCTTCTATTTCACCCATACAGTGAAATAAGTATGTTTAGAAGACAAGTCCTCCTGTTCGTACAGAAATATTTGTTCATTAAGATTTCATGCTAATATCCTATCTAAAGCCCCAGGTAATCATTGTTTTAAAGGAACTTAAAAGGTCTCGAAGTTTTCATTTTATGGAATACAAGTCTCTTTGTCTTTAAACAAATTGAAAGGTCAGTTTTCAAATCAGGATCTTTTAAATGTAAAGTTGACTATACTCTAATGACCACCTGTAGAATGCAACAACCCGTACAAATGATCACTTTCCACTCACTCCACTTCACTTTGCTTTTCTCCATATTATAATGGCATTGTTGAGGGCAGTCATCTAAGATGACCACTTTTCTCCTCGATAATTGATGGTCGTCTTGGGTAGGTTCGAATATATCTTACAAGTGACATTGTTATTTTTCTCTTCTTAAATTACCGTGATCATGTTACCCTTTGATTAACCAATATTCTTTTCATAGAAAGGTTTTTCTGTCACTTATGATAGGAAATAGCATTTCCTCATTTTCAGGCCAATTCTGTACCTATGAAATAGAAAGAATCTATAGCTTTGTAGCTCGTTCTTTTCCGTGTAATTGCTCTTTGAATTAGGTTCTTCTTGTGTTGGATTACCTTGAAAGCACTTATAAAGGCTTTCAATATTGGTATGCTCTCTTTTCATTGGTTTAAGGAAATCTTTTTGACAAAGGATATGGCATGAAGATGCAGTAAAATAAGACTTTTACATCGTAAATGAGATTAACATTTGCTTAGGGATTTGTGTAATTAAGACCCTTTCGTCATCATTGTTCTGGTTTGCCCACCAACCATTTGTATGGAATAATACTAGATAGCATTTGTATAGTGCGAAGAATTCCCGCTCAACAGCAAGCTCTATGCGCTTTACAATCTATACTTTTATCCCAGCAGACTTGATAGCTTTCTGAAACAATCCCAATTTCCTGGGAAACATACAGTGCAAGCTGCTATTTATAGGCGCTAAAAAAGCTAAAACACTAACATACTGACAAGATCTTTCACTGTCTATAGCTGGGCACCCATTCCCACCTGGGTGACATGAGGAAAATTCGTGTAAAGTGCCTTTCCCAAGGACACAACATTGGGCCTTCGGCTGGAACCCCCAAACTCACAACCACATGATTACGAGTCTGGTAGCCTAACCACTAGACTACCGACACCACACACTTTGATGTATACTCGTGGGAACTCGCTACTCAAGACTTCTCAAAGGAAGTTTGTCAGCCATGAACTGATGTATAGATATGACCCTCACAGGAGAACTGTTGTAATTTTTCCTCCTTTTAGATTATCAGAATGAAGTCTGTAAGTGAATAGGAAACAAGGGTGTGGTAAAAGCAAACAACAGCATGTATGCCTGGATGAGCAAAATACTACCACATTTCTCACCTTGTATGTCTAACAGGCATTGCAGAAGGATAATTCTGATTTATATGGGAATTATGGTTTTTTTTTGGTGGTTAAAAAAAAATAAATTATCTGTCACCCATTTACCTTTATAGGATGAAGAGTTTGGTCCAGTAAATCCAGTAAGTCACTCTACCTTGTGGCAAATTGTGTGACAGCTGATGTTAAAGATTTTGATAATTTGAAAGACTGTCACCCCTTTAAGCAACTGGGTTCTTTCTTTGACTGCCACCCCTTTAAGCAACTGGGTTTTTTCTTTGAGGTATGAGATGTAGACACACAGTGACACCTGTGGCTTGTCTGTTAAGCTGTCTTTGCATTGTGAAGGGTTGCTGGTATATAGATTTTGTCAATTTATTCTTTTCTTAAAGATGTGAAGGAGCAATGACTGGGCTATCTATTCTCAATCTCTATTTATTCTCTTGTGCTGAGTTTTCACACTAGGCCTGTTGCAATGTAACTGATCATGCTCTTAGAGTTGTTTTAATCTTTTTCATTCCAAGAATATACACCAGGCGAGGTTTCTCCAGCCCTAGTAAAGTTTTTGGAACTTTCAAGCAACAGTATGTGTGTTAAGGTATATACCAGTGAGAAGTGACGCTTAGAGATCATCTATGAAATTTCTCTCAGGCTACAGCTTATCAGTTTCCTCTCTCGGAACCGTTCCCATTTTTTATCTGCATTTTCCACTCATTCGACCACACCCTCTTTTTCTGCCACCTGGATCACTTACAGGTTTAGATCTATCGCCTGTACAGTTTGTCTTAATGGTGGTGACAGTGTCTAACTCTCATTCTTGCCTCTTCATCCGAATGAGAATCTTCCTCTATTTCACTAGCATAAATAAATGTCAGAATCAGCACTACTGTAGCTTCTTCACTGTCTTTACCCATGATAAGCTAAAATACCACAGCTGTGTAGAATCGCTTTGCCATTGTTCACATTATTATTATTATTATTACAGATAGCATTTGTGGGTAGTTGGCGGGTGCTCTGGTATGGTTTGCTTCTTCTTTCCTAGCAAACATCTATCGTCCTTATCTCCCCTTCTTTTTGATGTTTGTTATTCTCTTGTAACACCTCTAATCTTCTGGTACTCATATGACCTTATGCAGTTGCGAGCGCCGTAAAACCTCTACTAAAATAAACTAACAGATAGCATTTGTATAGTGCAAATTCCTGTTCAACAGCAAACTCTATGTGCTTTACAGTAGTCTTTATTATTACTTCAGCAGACCTGATAGCATTTTGAAACAATCTCAACTTTCTGGGAAGCATAGAGTGCAAGCTGCCATTTTTTTAATAGGTGATAAAACACTAATCTACCATCAAGATCTTTTGCTGTCTCTGGCCGGGCACCCATTCTCACCTGGGTGAAGACAGGAAAATTCGTGTAAAGTGCCTTTCCCAAGGACACAACGTCGGGCCTGAGGCTCAAACCCCCGAACCCACAACCTCACGACTATGAGTCCTGTAGCCTAACTACTAGACTATGGATGCCACTATTCAAATCAACTAACCCACATTCAAATGAGCTCTAAAGTGTTTTGACTTCGGAGGGTTAGTTTGTGTAAGAATGCTTCCCTTCCCTTAACTATAGCAAGGAAAACCTCCTCAGTAAAATGTGTAAGGATCGTTTTTTTAAGGTATGATTTTAAACAGGGAATATCTGCGTATGGGCTGGTGGGGACAGATTGTAAGCACTGAGAATCCCTGTGCGTGGTTCTAAATTTGTTGAAAAGTGCCATCTACATAATTGGTGAAAAACTGAGACAATTAAATGAAAAAAACCCTAATCAAACCTAATTGTGAGGCTTTTAATGTGTCCAGTTTTTCTTCAGGTTAATTTTTCAAACTGCCACAAAGAAGGACATTTTGTGAATGGTACAAACGTTTGAAATGTTTGTACCAAGTGGCCTAGTGGTAAGGCTACCGGTCTCGTAATCATGAGGTTGCGGGGTAGAGGGTTTGAGCCGCGGGCCTGATGTTGTGTCCTTTGGAAAGGCACTTTACAGGAATTTTCTTCACTTCACCCAAGTTGAAATGGGTACCCGGCCCTAGACAGCGAAAGATCTTGTCAGTATGTTAGCGTTTTATCACCTATTAATGGCTACTTGCACTGTATGCTTCGTGATTTGTTTCAGAATGCTCTCAGGTCTGCTGGGGTAATAATATAGATTGTGAAGCGCATAGAGTTTGCTTTTGAGCGGGGATCTGCGCTATACAAATGCTATCTATTATTACCAAATCTATCTTCTTCTGAAGAAAAATTAAACACTGATCGAGGTTTTGATTTGGACTTTCACACTGGCAGTTCTCCAGTTATTCATTGCGTTGAAAACTAAATACCCATGCTTTTCCATTTCCTAGTACTTTTTGCATGTGTACACTTGAGAGTGAATGGAGCTGTTCTCAGTTACCATATCAGATGGACAGACCATTGACCATCTGCATTTTGTACATATTTATTTATGCTCAACTTCTTAAAAGTAATGTTTATGATAATGTAAATCTGAGTGAAGAATTGATGTGGCTGTGATACATCCAAATGCACTGGTTGCCTTACACCATTTCAGTTTTCAGGACACATTTGCCTCTTGGCCTGTTGATAATAATAATAATGTAGATCTTTTCTACAGCGCCCACTCTCGTGTAAACACAGCTCTAGGCACTTTACATAAATGCATGTATGAACAATATTCACACATGCACACACACACTCACACACACACACACTCACGCACGCATACACGTACACACATGCACACACATGCATGCCTAACACATGCACACACACACACACACACACACACACACACACACACACACACACACACACATACACACACACACACACTCATACTTGCTTATCACACGCGTACTTATCGTTACGAAATGAGCTCATACAAATACATAAAATAATATACACAATGCAATTGGCAAAATACATAAATGGATACATAATCATTTACATAAAATTGTACCGAACATGAATCTGCTGATATAAAGATTATGTAATTAAATGTGTCTTTAACGACATTTTAGATTTAGACTCAGATGTTCTATGTCTCAAGTGTTGGGGAAGAGAGTTCCAAACTGATGGAACTAGATGGGCAAACGGTCTTTCAGCTAATTTTTTTACGCCTTTTATAGGAACTCTAAAAAGATACTGATCGCCTGATCTTAGTGATCTAGATGGAACATAAATCTGGATGACTTGTTGACAAAAAAAGACATGGGTTGCATTCAGGATGAGCAGTTTTTCAGAAAGGAGAAAGAAGTACTCTTCATATCTTTCTTCTTTGCGGTTTTATATTATACTATTATTTTGTAATTCTAGAAATGTTCCCAAAATGTTTATTCCTTACAGCTAGGTGTGCAATTCAGTTCAGTGTCATTGTCTGTTTTCAGTTCCATATATGGAGAGTTCAGTTGATGTCAAGATTCTTTGAAAGTCTGGTAGTTTTTGTTACATCCTGATTCTGCTGAGTTTTTGCTTTACTGGAAATGGCAGTCTGACTTTGAAAAGAATACTGCATCAGTGGCTGGTTACTTCAGATCAGTGCTCATTTCTGAGCTGAATTTTGAAAGGGAAGCAACAAATTGAGCATCTCAGTGAACTGATCAAGAACACCAGCTGTTCTGATGGGAGACATGTGGAGAAATGGGTATAGCGTCTTTCAGGGTATTTTCCGCTTTCTGTCTTAGAAAATAAATGTGTTATGTTGGAAAGAATACTGTGAATCTAAGGGTCTTTCCCTTATCCTGTTGTAAAAAATTAATCTACCTCTCAAAAGGCTGTACAGCTGAAAAATGTGCGCAACTTAGTGCAAGGTTTGGGGATTTACAATTATTTTCAGGTCGGAGGGAACTCCATTGCGGTGGTCTTATCTTGTGCATGCTGTGGAAACCAGTCTGGAGACGATGACACCAGGTCTAGCTATTCTTGCTGTTCTAGTGGCTCTGTGGATGGAAGGTCAAGGCCCTGAACCCGTGCAGGTGTTCACCATGATGCTGTGGATGTATGTGGCCCACAGTGCCATGCTCAAGTTCCCATACCAACCAGTTCGTGGTATATTGAGACTGCGTAAATCAGCCCAGGTGGTGCAAGTGAGTGGAAGACAGATGGCTGTCATTCCCTTTTGGTGTTTGTACAACTATGAAACTGTCGCTTTCAGCTTTGTATAAGCTCATCAAAGTCTAGCAGATACTGTTCTCTTTTTATGGTTGTTGTGTCCCCTGAGTGTTCTATTGATAGAGGTGCTTTGCCACCAAATAGATTATACACATATTTTTTATATTTATATTCAGCAGGGGAAAATCATCTTAATTGGTTTTAGTGCTTATTACCATGCCATTTGCTATATTTTGCAAAAATGTTTGTTGCACTGACGCATATTCCCTTTTCACTTTACACTTCCCCTCCACCCACTGTTATTTCACTGAGCCACAGTGCACCCAGCCCAGCATCTAAACCCTTGCTTGTTTGCCTGATTTTCACACTTTCTTTGCATGAATATATAGGTGTGGATAGAGAGTTCTGTGTTAGCCTACTTTCTTATAGAGAAGTTGCTTGTAGAGCACATTCTTTAGCTTGATCAGATGTTTTTGTGCTCTGCTCAGGAGCCAGTCTATGATAGAAATGTGAGATCTTTGTAAGCCTCTTTTCCTTAATTCTCTGTAACAGTCAGTGTAATTCAAGGTGGATATTCATATGGCTTTCTTTAAATATAAACATAATATTCACCAGTTATTTAGAAATTATATATTATCTTTATATTCTATATATTCCTCTGTTTTCCCTAACATGTATATATTCCTAGATATTATTAGCTGTAGATGTTTCAGAAAGTTTGGTGTGTGCTAGTTCAAAAGCCTGAATATTTATAAATAGAGGGAACTTTAAAAAAACGAGGTTGTGTGAGTGGTTCCTTAGAAAGGATACTTGACTATAAATTATTTCTTCAACTTCCACTTTAAATAAAGAATAAGTAAACTGACTTGAAAATGTATGCCAATGTATTCGCATCAAATGTGGATTAAGTGATAGTCTTAGCCTTTATTTGCTGAATGTTATTACTTTGAATAGGGATCTAGTAAAAATTAAATTCAAGCTTTATTCCATTTTGGAATAGTATGTGAGGCATCGTGGTGAAATCGGGCGCGCGTCAAAATAATGAAATTGAAGAAATCTGCAATTTTACACTGATTAGGCAATTTTTATGGTTTTTTGGCTCCACACCTTTTATGTCCATTTGAAAACACATTTAAAGGTGAAGTTTATTGAAAAACGTTGATTAAAGGCACAAAAAATGTAAATTTTCAGTTTCCATTCCACGAACTCCCAAGCTAAGGAAATAACTCATCTTTGGCGGCCATTTTCCCACTAATTTTACCTCTGAAACCATGTGACCCCCACCCCCTTCATTCGCAATTATGTCTACTTCTATTCAAGTTAAATGGATATTTTTTTCATCCAAAGCAAGACAATTACCAAGCTTTAAGATGATGCCGATAACTCTACATGTCCGAAAATTGACGAGATGCTGATTCCACCGCGTTGTAACACATTTGCAGTTTTCAGGGACTTTCCAGCTTTGGAAGTCACCAAACTTTTGCGGCCATTTTGTACCTCTGAAATGAAGCGACCCCCACTTCCTTCAATCGCTAATATCTCGACTTCTGTTTATGATAGATGGATATTTTTTTCATTAAAAGCAAGGTGAATGAATAATTAAGATGATACCAATGTCTCCACACGCCCAAAAATTGATGAGCGCCTGATTCCACTGCATCGTGACACATATATGTTATGTTTCTTCAGGCGTTTCTCTTGCTGGATGAAGAGAAGGAACACATCAAGGACCTGCGTCTGCACCGCTCCGTTAGCTTCCGTAATGAGCCTCACAATGATTGGGCCGTGGACATTGATCACATGACTGCGCGATGGCCCCTCGTATACACGGAAGGCCGGAGAAGGTTCCAGAAGAAGAGACAGAGGAGCAGCACCAGCTCTATGAAGAGTTTATTGCATGAGGTGGGGTTCCACTAAAAAAAATATTTTGCTTGTTGTTTGCTTGTTTAGTACAGTGTGCTTGTTTGTAACTAATTTTGATGTGTTTTTGTTATTTTATTCCCATATAATGAACACTCTAGTTATGATTCTGATTTGGGAACTCTTGTTTTTCTGTAATTTTCTCAGTACTTGAAAAAATGACTCAAGCGCTTGTGTAGTAATGCTGGCGATATGTGTATGTATATATACTTTTTATTACATAAAAATAAATTAATAATTAAACAACTTGTTGTCAATACTTTGGCATGTTCCTGCTTAAGAAATGTTGATTCATGTTGTTTGCTGACAAAAGAACTCTTTTCTTTTTGTGTTCACAGAGTGATGTAGATCATGCCTTCTCTTTGAAGTATATATCTCTTCAAGTGAAAAAAGTAAGTTACCATTAACCCTTTCATTGAAATGTTTCCATTTGCATTTGTCCAAGTCCAAGAAAGATAAAAATGTCCGTTCAATAAAGATTTAAGCAAAGCTAGAACAGCTTTCCCTTTATTCAAGAACAGGTGACTGCACTTGCAGCAATTATATTTACTAAAACATTCCCTATACACTAATGGAAAAAAATGGTAGTGAACCAGTTTCAGAGATCACAACCAAATACACATGTAAACATAGCAGTGAAGGGGTTAAGAATTGATACTAAAACCGTCTAACGCAGTGCTTGTCAAACTGGATGATTGGTAATTTTGGTGAGCAATGGGGATCACCCATGTAGTGACAGGTACAGGTACTATTTATGCCCCACTTTGGCAAAGACATGTGGGTGGGCGCTACGAAAATTTTAGCTTCCTAAAGGTGGCAAAAGTGGGCACTGGCTATAAAAAGGTTGACAAGCACTGCCCTTATGTGTCCTGAGAAGTAAATTTTAAAGCTATTGATGAGTCAAGGGACTTTTGGCCTAAGTTCTGCTGTGTGGTAGCTACAATAGCCCCAAATGCTGTGGATTCCTGAGTAGACTGAACACAGCACAATCCATTGTTGCTGCCTGTCTGGGGAAGAGGTCTGTTTGTAGTGTTGCTGTGATTATCTGATCAAGTTGAAGAGTAGATGATGGTAGTGGTGGTAGAGAAGGGTCAGCTTTGAGCTTTATGCCGTGGACAACTAAAATATTTTACTTAAGGTAAAGAGCAGACTAAAAAGAAAAAGAGAAGTGCAATTTTGTTGTATCAGCTGAAAAGGTGGAGGTTCAAGTCTTTATTTACTGCAAGTTTTTCTAGCTCAATTTTACAGTTCTGCAATTTCTTCTGATAAATGTCATTTGCAAACCGTTTTTATACAGAAATTGCCCTGTTTGGCTGATGCTGTTGTTCCTTCTAGTTTCACTTAAAAAAGTGACAAATAAAAGATCGTAACATTCTTAATAAAAACTAGAACCTAATATATTGAAAATTGTTGTGTCTTGATAAAGCTTTCTGGAATCCAAATGATTCTCTTTTTTTCCGTAATAATTCTTTTCTTCCGTTGTTTTGATTGGTTAACAATTCTGTACTTTCATAATGACCAATAAAACTGTAATTAGATACTGATGTAATTCATTCGTATTCAAACAGGGAGAGCTTGTGGTCATTGTCGGAATGGTTGGATCGGGAAAGGTGAGCTTGCTCTAGTCATGCATGGTATATTTGGCTATTTATTTTTCATGAAACCCTTCTGTTTTGATGTGAATACTCATATTGGTCTTCGTTTACCGCTCCCCCCCCCCCTCCCCCCTTTTCAAGAATAAAAAGGAAGCAAAAGCTGTGTCTTAGTTTTATTTTTGAATAGGATAGGTTGAGAATTGCCATTACGTTCTTTTCAGATCAAGTTCTGAAAAACAAACAGCATATGAAAAATATTAATTTGGCACTAAGTCTGTATGATAAATGAAAACTGTACCTAATAATGATGATAATATTAAATATTTTAATAATAATAATAATGATGTAATAATAAAATAATAATAAAATAATAATAATGATGTAATAATAAATAAAATAATAGTAATAATAATAATAATAATAATAATAATAATAATATTAATAATAATAATGGGAATTTATATAGCGCTTCATTCCAAGCTCTGAACACTTTACAATCTTTAAAAGCAGACGGTACAGAAAGAAAACATTAACCTAAGTTGACAATATTCATTATCTAACAAAATGAGTTAAAACATTTTAAAAAAAAATGGGTTTAAAAAAACTGAATTCTTTCTGTTTCTCTCAATTTTTGTGGCAGGGTGTTCCAGGTTTACATACATAGTAGAATGTTTTGTGTATGTATATCTTACTCAGGATAAAAATAACTTCTGGTATGATTTTTTCTTTTCCCCAGTCATCTTTGCTGTTGTCACTCATTGAAGAACTGCCGCACGAGATTGGTCAAATCGCCATCAATGGACGGGTCAGCTATTGTGGTCAGACCAACTGGGTGTTCAGTGGGACCGTCCACGACAACATAGTGTTTGGTCATCAGTTCAATAGGACGCGCTATCAGCGAGTCATTGAGGCGTGTGGCCTGACTCATGACCTTGAACTGATGCCGAAAGGTGACATGACATACGTTGGAGAACATGGGCTTCGTCTCAGTGGTGGACAGAAAGCCAGAATTTCTCTTGCAAGGTAGGGAGGTGACCCTTTTGCTGGTACTGGTCACAAGAGTATTATTTAAATAGACTAAGTGACATTGCACTTTACGACTCAGAAAATTTAATGAAAGTCGATCTAAAGCTTGTGTAATCTCTTTATCAGTTTCTGATACTAATAATGCTAAAAAAAATTTTTGTCTGTGGACCCGCTCTATGAAACTTTTGATACAATGCATGTTGTATAGAGTTTTTCATTTTTCTCTCCAAAGATGCGTATACCACGATGCTGATGTGTTTTTGTTGGATGACCCACTTAGTGCTGTGGACACCACTGTTGGCGCTCACATTTTTAAGAGGTATATTGACTTAATCTGTTTTTAATGCCTTTACTTTGATAATTTGCTGAAACATGGCAAAAGTACTTAACAAAAAAGCTATGCTCATAGAATGGAAATGGTTGATTTTGTTCAATATTTATGTTGTGTTCTGCATGTTTAAAAGTATGGTGAACAGTGCACTTTCCTTCAGATTGACCAATTATCCTATATTCTTTATAATTTTTATGTAGCTGGGATGGAGGTAGGGGTAGCGGATGACTCTAGAAAGCCATGATTTTTGGGACGGTTGGGGAATGCCACAATTTTTATTGCTTAGTTCCTTTCTGGGGAATGTCTAGATTAACAGTTTTACTTCTCAGTGGAGACTTGCCTTCTTTTTAAGTTTTTTAACGTGGAGCCAAAGATCTACAAGCATTTTTGAAAATGACCTCCACAGTTTCGAGCAAATTAGGCCTGCTGTCAAAGTTCCGTCTCCATTCAAATCAATAGGAAAAGAGAAATATTAATTTAATCACCTTAAGCTTATTGAGACTAATCTCTAGTTGTAATTTTATGTTTTAAATATATGATTTTTTTGTATAACCAGGTGCATACTGGATCTTTTGCGCAACAAAACTGTGATACTGGTAACCCACCAAATCCACTATTTGAAGCAGGCTGATCGGATTGTGGTTCTTCGAGATGTGAGTAAAACTGAAAGTCATGATTATTTGTCTTTTAGTATCTGTTTTTGTATTTTTGATGATCGCGGGCAGTATTGCATACAGATGTAAGTCAGTTTTGGCGGCCTTTGAGATACGTGTGTATGCAATACTGCCCTCGTGATTTTGTCTTTGACCTTTGATGTCTACACTGACTTTCCAGAAAACAACAACAAACAATATGAATGATGCTTTTACAGTGTGGTTTCTATACATTTCTGAGTATGTCTTGGCATAGAACAACTTTCTGTCTGATATTATCATAATCACCATCAGCCTTTGTCATCCCATGCTAGAGCATAGGCCACCAGCAAGAGCTCTCCATGTACTTTGGTCCTGGGCTAAAGTCTCCAACTCTGTCCAACTCTACCTCATCTCCTTTCTGTCCGAATCTAAGTCCCTCCTCTTAGTCTTAGTACTTTTAGGCATTCCTTTCTTTCTCTTTCTCTGTGGTTTATGTCTTAAGACTTGTTGGATAATGTTTGTTTTTGGTTTTCTTAAGCTGTTTTCAATCAACTTCCATTTCCCCTTCCTGATTTCTCTATCTGCCTGATTTGATCATATGTAAAAGACTGAGTGGTGCATGTGACATGTGTTTCTTCAAGGGATCCATACATGATGTTGGCACCTACGATGAACTTAAAGCCGGAGGAATGGACATGAGGGCTCTCACCACTATGGAGCACCCAAAACACGCCACAGATGCAAAGATAGAGGCAGAAGAGGAAGAAGCCCAAATCTTGGTGAGGCATTGTCTTTTTGCTTCCTGAGTGGGTGATGGGGTGCTGTGGTGTGGTCTGCTCCTTTTTTCGTTGCTCTATTCTGTTTCCTGGTAAAATGCTTTATCTCAAAGCTGGGTGTAAGTAATTGTGCTGTCTCACCATAAACTACAATTTAACAAGATTTGTATTGAAATACATTTAGAATAAATTTAATGAATTTGAGAAAGCCCAGAAGATTTTGAAATAAAGAGTTGTTTTTCAAGGTTTGGTATGGTGGTTTAGGTTTTGTTTGATATTGGCTAATCAGCTTGTCGTTTACACTCTTTTCTCAGTTGTATTTGTTTTAAATGTATATATTTTATTGCTTGAGTTAGTGAGAAACTCTGTTGTTGAGTGTTAAACTCTTTGGCATTTGTTATCTCCTCATCGTCATTCTGTTTATGGATTGCAGGACATGCTCCATTTGGTCAAATCTTGCTCAATTAAAACCTTATCTTGTGATGATAAATGTAGACAAGTTGTCTTGTCGGTCCGTCCCATTGCTCTGATCAGAAACTTTTAGTTTGTTTATTGTTTTTAAGTCTGTTTACTTCATTGCTCAACTTTCTTTTTTTTTCTTCCTTTTTTCCAGTTGGAAAGCAAGTCTCTAGATACTCTGACCTATGAAGATGGAGATGAAGAAGGAGAACTGGTGCGAACAGGTTCTGTAAGGCTTCGAGTGTACTGGGACTATTTTGCAGCAGGATTTGGACCTGCCCTTTTACTTATCCTGATCCCCACTTGGCTTGCTGCTCCTGTGAGTGTGCCCTTCGAGGTTTTAAAGTTTTGTGGTTTTTACGAAAATTGGTGATATGTAGGAGTACAGAGTAGCTTTTGTTTTAGTACTCACACCAATAAAACATTAAGTGGCAATGTTAAAGCCAAGCAATTACAACAAAGGGACAGACGATTAATGTGTGTAACATTAGAATATAAAGTCCTATCAGACTGTTCCTGGCTTGGCTGGGTGAATACATATGCTTTTGAAGGTAGTTTTCTCAGCAGTTAACTAGACCTCTCATTTTCAATATTAATGTACTAGTGATAGAATTTATATGTAGCTTCACTGTCCTGAATATAATTCCCATTTAGGCTGTGCAGATTCCAGATTTTATGAGGAGATACTGCATTAGCTTAGCATCTTAGCTTACTTCAGATTTTAGATGGTTAAAAGGTAGAGTGATTTTACTTGCATAGTCAAATATTGCACTGGAGACTGAAGAAACAGCACAACTTTAAAGTGACTCCCCTGGTTGGCCTGTTTATTCCAAATCATTGTTTCGTTCCCTTGGAAGACATACAGTTTTACAGACCATGAGGCACATAGTGCTATCATTCACATAATGCATCTCTCCTGATTGCTGAGTACCTAATTGCTGCAAGTGAATTGAGGAAAATAGGGTTTTGAAAAAATCTTTCTTGAAGGTACAATATTAGGGAATTTTACTCTCAAAGTTCTTTTTATTGTCGGTACGACATCTTACCACCTGACAAGGACTTGCTTGGTCATCGATTTATAATACACAAATCTTGATCTTTAGCACTGAAACATCATAACACAAAACATATATTGAAGACCTAAGTGTCATATTTTGTATAGCTTTTTACTTGCGACAATTCATTTTTATTGCATGAGTGCTTTATACATATTGGCATGTATTGCACAGCACAGCTTTTACTTACTAAAAATGTTTTGTGTACTGCATACTTCTTAAAATTGCATATTCTCTGTGTAGGTTGGTAAGTGCAGTACTGTTTTTGGCAGCTATCTTATGTAATCTGAAATACATACATGTTCCAGTCTCTCAACTTTGATGAATAATGGTGATTTTGCAAAGAGACGAAATATGTATGATTTTTTGTATTTTTAGAATGTCATTGATATTTACTTTTCTCAGAATTTCAACGTAATTTTTCATTTAGTATTGTAAACGTATACAGTAAGCTTTTTGTTTTCTTCCTTACCTTCAAAGCCTACTTGTGAAGTTTTGTATAGTGTGTAGACAATGCTGAATCACTCACAATTATTCTTGGCTTTGCTTTTCAGGCACTTTTCTGTTTGTCAGACTGGATGCTCGCTAAATGGTGGGTTGTGCTAAGAAGATGACTTAAAGATATTTGTATTTAATGATTAAAGATCAAGTAAGATCTTGTATTTTTTTTTTTTATAGTTGACCATGTTGGAGAGTGTTATGTGTGTAAACATTCTACAGGCCAGATACTGAAAGCTTATCTTCAGGCTTTGAAAAATAATTTTAGACTTTGGCTTATTAGAATGTGCTTGCCTCTCTTTTTATTATGCTGGCACATACTTTACTTCAAGTGAAATAAAAGCATAATTTAAGTAAAATGTTGACAGTTGTCCAAAATTTGTACCTTTATGTTTTTTGATAATATTATATTGATGACAAGTACATTTAATTGAAAAGGTGTTAAAATAGTGTTGAAAAGCACTGCTGAATTGTTTTTGTTGAAAGAAAGTTTCAAAACAACATTCTGATCCACTGAAATTGATTGCCCCCTTAAATGAAGTTAATGAATCAAGCCTCTAGTAATGCAATATTCGTCTTAGCCCTGTTATGAAATGCTTAAACTACACACTTTGTATTGTTAGAGCAAGAAATGAAAAACTTCATTGCAAAGGCAGTTTGTGTTGGCAGAAGTGTCGACCATCTATGCTCATACTCAGCATTAAGCAAACTGATGGAACGTCTTGATCTTCTGACTGTCATTTCACTTTATAGTCACTTCACATTTTTATTGCTGCATAGAAAAGTGCTTGTGGTACCAGCCAAAACACCTCTTCCTCAGTAATATATAAAACTTTTTTCTGTTTAATGCATTAACCTTCGAAACAAAAATATGTGAAGTATTGAAGAATGTAGCTTTTAAACCGAGTGCATCCAACCAACATATTTGTTAGTTGGAGTTTGAAGTATTATCAAAGACTCTGTTCACACATTAATGGCTCATGTTATCTTTGGGACTTGTTTATCAAGGGTTGGAGGAATGCAGCACATGCAGTCATCACCAGACCCCAGCCCGCTCCCCGTGTCTGCGTCGGTGGGACCGGCCGTACCCCAGGATGAGTCACAGGACTGGGCCAGCATGCCCTGGAACCTCCAGATGTACATTATTGCTTTTCTGGCCAGCTTTGGCTCGTTTCTCCTGTGTGGGGTGGTGTATCTGCAGATGACTGCCACCGCCAGTCGCCGCCTGCATGACAGGATGCTGCATAGTGTGTTGAACAGCGTTTCCCGTTTCTTTGACACTCGGCCCATAGGTGAGACACAGTCGTAGAAGAGAGAATCTGTTTAGCTCAAACATCAAGACCTTAAAAAAACAAACAAATACAGTATCATCTGTTAGTATTTTAGTGAGGACCTTCTGAAACTGCTTAATAAATTGAGTCTGTCAAACCTTAGTCCAAATTATGTGTTAGAGAAATGCACCTTTCTGTATGGAAAGGAATTATGGATACACTGTCTTTGTTGAAAGACGTGTAATTTGAATCAAGTGCTACTTTTAATAGATATCTCTCTCTCTAAGCTCTTTAAATTTTCTTCAATACAATATTAAAATTACGTGTATTGATTTTTCTTTCACACCTACAGGCCATAACTGGATCGTCAAATGTAGTGAATATGACTGAAGTGTATTTTTAGACTGTTTACAAGAGTCTCTGAAGAACACCAGAGTATGTGAGTTCTTCATGTACTCTTGACTTTTATTTCTTATTATGGTCTCTTTAGGACACAAATAGTCCAGCAGGGGGGAATCAATGTGATTATTTCCTGCTTAGTTTCCTGGGTATGCCAGAATTGTCATTCCTATATTTTCATCTGGTGCATCATTTTTTTATACTTACAGGTCAGATTCTTAATAGGTTCTCCAGAGACTTGCTTATCATTGATGACATGGTGTCTGTGTATGGCTTTGTCGTATCAAAGGTAAGATCTGTTAAATACTTTTGCTGGGTAGGGTTCAGTTTCCAAGTTACTTTGTTTGTCTTGTCTCTATTGTCTTGGAAATGCAAAGGAGTCTGCTTATGATGGCGATGATGATGCCATTTTGATGTCAGAGAAAGACATTGATGTGCCCATAGAAATGCTCTTATTAGTGTTTCCTACCTTTACCCAAAATGCAGTTATTGAATTTATGAATTTATGAATGATTGTGGTGTTTAAGTAACTGTGATGATGTTCTGGGGGAGGGGGGTGGTTTGGGGTGGCACTAGAGATAGCCAAGGTATTGATTATGAAGTGTTTTGAGCCTGCCATTAGAAAGGATGTGTGGCTGAGCCTTTTCCAAATGGTGAGATGATATAACAAGATGTATCCTTAGGTAGATGTCTGAAAGTCTATGTATCAGAATTGGTTTTATGCGATTACTTTTTGGGGTCAGAGATGAAATTTACGTAATTTTTATTCATGTTTTTTTAAAACATTTGTTGGAAAATTAGAATTGCACTGCCTTTTTTGGGGGTATCAGATAAAAATACCCATACAGGTATGGGCTGATTTTGATTATGTTTTAGTGCGCATATGCCTTTTTGGACAAAGTAGTATTTTTTTTTTGGTCTGCAGGTCCAAACTCCAGAATGTTTCACATCCAAGGTTGCTAACATAGAAGCTGGCTCTGCTCAGCACTGCTCTTTAAGAAACTAAAAAGATTTATGAAAGATGCATTTTAATTGTTTTCCAGAAAACCTTTCACTTGTTGAGCTTCTTTGTCCTAACTGTGGTGATCAACCCATGGCTGGCCATTGCCTTGGTACCTATCATGGTCGTCCTTTTACTGACCCGCATGTACGCTGTGCGGACGCTCAGACAGGTGAAACGACTAGAAGCAAGAGGTAAATGTGCTATTATGTTTGATGGACTACTATCGTATTCTTAATCAATCTTACTGTTTTTGTGTGCCTGTTATGCTGCGCGTGATTAAACTTTTCAAAGAGGTACTCCGGTTGTGCATAGAGTTTATAGCTCTGTATGTTAAAAGTGGAGTTGGTGAAGAAGTTAAAGCATTGTGCTGGCAGGCTACTTCAGAAGCCTCTCTTGGTGTTTTTACAAGCTGTACAGTAAAACATAAAAAGTCTCTCGCCACTTTTGTTTGTCATTAGGAGTGATATGAACTTGGTCCTTGCAGGTGAGAATATTATATACTTATGATGATTTTTTTTCTGAAGGATGGTGGTCACTTGAATGTTCATACCTTTTTTCTGTTCCTTTTAGTTATAGAGACAATAGCATCAGTAATTTTTTTTATCATTATGAGACACATCTGCTCTTATCTTTACATAACTTGAGTTTGCTACACTATGCTGAGAATAATAGCTGAACCTATGTCTCCATATGAGCTCCTATTTGGTTTGCTAATTTGAAAGTTTATTTCTGTATTCTGCCTGCTGATGTTTGAGGTTTGTGCACACCCACCCATTTCCTCCTTTGGCTTCTCCCTGATAACAAAGAAATGGTTTGTTCATCCCCTCTCTCACTCTCTTCACAGCCCGCAGCCCTGTGTACTCCCACGTGTCTGACACAGTCCGGGGCCTGGAGACGATTCGAGCCCTGAAGAAGAAGGACCAGGTCTTGGCTGAGTTCGGAGACCTCCAGGACAAGCACACAGCAGCCTGGTTCCTCTACCTGAGCTCTTATCGCTGGATGTCGGTGCGCACTCTTTGCCTGGTGGTTCTCTACATGCTCGTCGTTATTTTCGTGTCTGTCGCCTTGAAGAACTGTGAGTGAAAACCAAGATATATTTTGTTTGTATGATACGCATTTGTTTGAAGAGCTCATATGTGAAAAATGTTGGAAAAAGTGCTTCGTGAATTTGAAACTGTCAGTAGAGAGTCTTGAAATCTTGTTTAGTCGTGCTAACAGTTATCTTACCCATTATGTCGTTAGCAATCCAGTAGCATCTGAGCGTTAACTCTTCTGCATCCCATTATGTCAAAACAGGCAAGTGGGAAAGAATGTACAAGCAAACATTTTGAAAAGAATTATAGATTTTGTTTTTCAACTTATTTATTGGATGCTTCTTTTTTTTAACGTCCAAGCATAAGGCACCCTATTCTTGTATGTATAGTATAAGGTTTTACGGCGCTCGCAACTGCTAAGGTCATATGAGCGCCCGAAACACAAGTTGTTCACTTTTGCAAAAGTTCACTTCACGACTGGTTAACTAATTTACTTTAAAATGCTAAAAAGTTAAAATATTTAAATTCGGTGTAAATGTATTTGTGATTTAAAACAACTCTTTTAAGTAACAATAAAAATTTTTAATAATATCAAATTCACTCTACAACTCGCCATAAAGGCCAATGGCCTTTATAAAATCTAAAATTCTGCTGGGAACAACGACGGAAAAAATATCCTGCAATTTCTTGCATTTATAATATTTCCTTCGGATCTCTCCAAAGTCTAGACATTCTGTTAAAATGTGTCTAATGGTAAAATCTGTGTCGCATCCGACACAGAACGGCTTCTCATCTCCCTGTAGGAGGTATTTGTGGGTCAGGGCCGTGTGTCCGATGCGCAATCGAGTAAAAATGACTTCGTCTCTTCTGGAGAGGTCCGAAGGATTTCGCTGTTCTAGTTTGGGTTTTATTTCATATAGTTTATTATTTTTCTGGTTTTCCCAGTGGCTCTCCCACAGACTGGAGGTGTACTTTTTGACTCTATTTCTAAAGTCAGTCTGTGGGAGAGTGTTTGTCGTTGATCCCAGCAGAAGGGATGAAGCTTTCTTCGCCAGGTCGTCTACCTGCTCGTTTCCTCGGATGCCCACATGGCTGGGTATCCATGCGAACATGATGTTTTTTCCTCTTTCGGATAGTGTATGGATTTTCTGTTGTAGCCTAACTATTTTTGAGTGTAAGAGTGTGTAGTTTGTGAGTGAGGTGATGCAAGACAGAGAGTCAGAAAGGATAAGGAAAGATTTGTTAGGAGAATTTTCTACAGAGTCCAGTGCCATGTCAATGGCAGTGGCCTCCGCAGAGAAAATGGAGGCACCTTATTCTTGAAAGCAGACCTATAACATGGAGTGACTGTGGCATAGCCTAGCTGGGAAGCGTATTTAACATCGGTAACCTGTGCTCGATATAAATATTTTACAGAAAATACTATTGATTGTGCATGCGTTCATTTGATATTCAAGTTCTATTACTTAAGTAGAGTGTTGCCAGGGTTGTTTTTTTTTTGTGTTGATGGAGTCAATGTTTTCTCATATTATGGATCTGTGTTCTCTGATTTTGATGGGTTGAAACCGAATTGGTGATCTAGGTGAATTTAATTTGGGGGGAGGAGGGGGGGGGGGTTAAGAGGGTTAAAAAAAAAAAAGTAGTATATTATGTGTAAATAGCTTTGTTTATCAAGATTTATTGACTAAGTTGTCTTTTATTTGATGTTAGCGCATCGCTATTTCTTTGTATTGGTGCAATGCGCAGTTTTGTTTTATTAGGTTTTTATTCTCTGACTTTGGAATGTATCTGAAAGCCTACTCTAAGCAACATGTTATGGTACATAGTGGGTGGTTGGCGGATGCTCTGGTGTGGTTTGCTCCTTCTTTCCTATCAAACATCTAGCGTCCTTATCTCCCCTTCTTCTTTTTTATGTTTGTTACTCTCTTGTAACACCTCTAATCTTCTGGTGCTCATATGACCTTATGCAGTTGCTAGCGACGTAAAACCTCTACTAAAACTAAATGTAAATTGTACATATGTAGTGTTATTTTCTCCCTCTGTCCAGCTCTTGACGGAAACCTTTTGGGTCTGTCCCTTGTCTACTGCTTGGCCATGATGGAACCTTTTGAGTTTTACATCCGGGCCTCTGCCGAACTGGAGACATATGTAAGTGTATTTTTGTTCTTGGAGAGTTATGGGGTTATACAAGACTTTCCCCGTCTATTGCAGGACTTGCTCAAATTAGGTTCCTTTGTTACATTAATTCTCTTTAGGCATTCTACTTTGAGGGGTATAAGAGGATGTATTGTTTCCAATTGCTGTTGCGTATTAGCATCTCAAAAACCTGGTCCTGGTCCTGATGAAGGTACAATAATATATTTGTCTTAAAATATCTGAGAAAATTTTATGAATAATCTTGAAAATGATAATGATGATAGTGCATTTATTATGAATATGGTGACAACTGTATTTGTTTGAATTTGTGAAGGCTGAGATGTAACCTTGAAAATGGGAGAGATAATATTGTTTGAAGTTGAGGAACATTTGTACTACTTTAAGAAATGTTGTTGCATTCACTAATAGCCCATTTATTGCCTCAAAGCAGAAGAATATATTTCACAAGGGGTTTGTTTTTTATTTTACGTTTATTGTAATTTTATATTAGATATGAAAAAAACAACCCCAACTGGTTTAACCACCAACTTTATATTTTGCTTAGTTTCCAGCACTGTAGCCTTTGGTTGATTTGTGTTCTTTGTGATTGTATACAGATGACATCGGTGGAGCGAGTGCTTGATTATTGCTCCCTAGAACAGGAGCCTCCCAAGACCTCAGTGAAGCCTCCTCCCCCAGACTGGCCCAACAGAGGAGCCATCACCTTCACCAAGACCTCTCTAAAGTACTCAGACAAAGCACCTTTGATTCTGCAAGACATTGAGTGTCACATTAAAGGAAAGGAAAAGGTATGGCTATGCGATGGATGGTACATGTTTTTATTCACAGAATGTTATTCTAAGTACACATTTAATTTCTGTGTGTTATGATGTTTCAGTGCTTAAGATCAAGATTTGTGAATTATAAATCGATGACTAAGCGAGTCCTTTTCAGGTGGTAAGATGTGGTACCTACAATAAAAAGAACTTTGAGAGCAAAATTCCCTAATATCGTATCTTCAAGAAAGATTTTTCCTCAATTCACCCTGCAGCAATTTGGTAAAATTTTGGGAGAAATGAAAACTGTTGTAACACTCTTGGCTCATGTGGTTCCTCTTCGGTGCTTGACCGGGATGGCTGTCACCAGAGGTTTTCTGTCTCTGAGAACTTTATGAGTCTCACTACAGGCGCAATTCTTCTGACATGTTTTGGGCAAAACATTTGTGTAATGTATGGGTTTCTATTTAACATTTTTCTTTTCTGTTAGCTGAAAGAACTAAGCACTTCAGTGTGTTTGAGTTAGTCTGGTTTCTACTTATTATTTCGAAGTAAAAATATTGTCAGTGAACATGACATTAGTAAAGTATAGAAGACTAAAACAATGGGAAATAGGAGGTTTAATCCGCAGCTGATAATGTATGCTGGGACTTTTTTAAACAGTAAGCATTATTGTTTAGGTAGGGGAGAAGATAATATTTTATTTTGACTGTTGCGGCTGTTTCTCCTGTTCAGATTGGCATTGTGGGGCGCACCGGCTCAGGGAAAAGCTCTCTGATCTCTGCTCTGTTCCATCTGGCTAAACCGGTGGGGGCCATCTACATAGACGGAGTGGACACCAACAAGCTGGGCCTGCACGAGCTACGTAGCCAGATGTCCATCATACCCCAGGACCCGGTCCTCTACAGTGGCACCCTGCGCTGGAACCTTGATCCTGCCTATGAGTTTAGTGATGAGAGGCTGTGGAGTGCGCTAGAGCAGGTAGGAGACAACTCGAGAGCGTCTAAGTTGTGGGGTTTAGAAAGGGACATTGTCACAATGTAAAGAAAAAAATTAGAATTGAAAATACAATTTTTAAAAATTCCTATTAGGAAATAAGATTACAGTGGCATGTACAATAAAAAAAAAAAGAAATAATTCAGAAGTTACATGAACATCCCATAGTACTTTATTTCAGTCAAAAAATGACAATACTGCAACATACCAATACTGGTCACTATAGTGCAGTGCCGTGAAGCTATTTGCAGTAGGATCAACAATGGAAAATTGGTTAAACTCCTTTTCTAAGCTTACGGCATTCTGTCTGACTGATCCGAGAATCAAACTCAGAAGTGACCTTTTCCCATGTTCTAAGTTCTATCACATGATTTCTATATAGGTCACTCTGCCATACGAGATGTTGTATTGGGGGTCTTCAATGTTTTGATAATTTGAGTCTACACTCGAAAATGACTTCAGTCTGATCCATCATGTGTACGATGTAAATGTATGGAAACACTTGCTTGCTGTCACCTTAAAGCACAGCAGAGAAATACTATTTGCAAATTAGATTTTAGAAAGATTCAGGAAAGAGATTTTGTTTGTTTACAAATGACTTTTCCATTTTTTGTTTCTCTTGTTCCATCTTGTTGTCTTTGTCTCTTGTGTTCTTTCTCTCTCTCTCTCTCTCTCTCTCTCTCTCT